TGTGTGTGTGTGTGTGTACGTGTGTACGTGTGTGTGTTCACAGCACACGCCAACCACCAACACAAAACACACATTAGACACGCCCACACAAAAAATGATAGACATTGTACAGAGGTGTGGCTTACCTTGTACACTTGACCATAGGTTCCATTGCCCACAACTTCTATCAGGTCAAATATCCCAGCAGGATCCTGGAACAAGCAACACAGACAGATACAAACTTTGCATGACTATAAACTGTCTTGACTGCAAAGATTATACTAGAGTACAGGTCGCATGCCACACTGTCAATAAATGTAACTTAGAAACTTTGCCAAACTTACCAAAATTATAAACTGCTTTGAGTAATAAACTTTATTCACTCCATTTGTTAGACATAATATTAAAACAGAACGCGTTAGTTGTTGTTTTTTCAACATTATGAGGTCATAGGTCAATATGTGAGAAAGTCGACCACACTTCCCCAAGACACACCCCTCCCTGGGTCCAGAACCTCAACAAAAAGCATTCCTGGAACTACACCCAAAAGCAACAACTAGCAAATCTCAACGAACTGAGATTATAATAATACCGCAACCAACACCATGTTCCTTGATCACTGCAAACAAAAATTAGTCTAAATAAATACAACTTTTTCTCCAATAAAAAAACCCCATTTGTCTTCATTCTATCGAAAAATGTTTACCATCTCTGTCGCAACAAACAAATTACATAAAAAGTACTTTAATCTTTTGTGTTCTTGACAATTACTCCAAAACAGCTCTCTGAACAGGCCTATAAAATGAAAGTCTCACTCCTCAAACAGCATGGTCAAAATCCAAAGATTCACTTCACTCAATAAATTGAGATTATGAAACACATATATGGATGGATTCTACCAGGTCACTAAACCATCCAAAACCAAAACTTTAAATTATAAATATTCAAAGTATGCTTTCAGAATTGAAAAAAAAAAATTTCCTTTCAAAGACAATGTTCTGAAAGCATCTTTGAAAAAACTTTCAAAGCACAAACTACGAGCCTAACATTTTAATTAATGACACCACTATGACGTCAACGCATATGTATACCAGACCTTTTATATTTCCTTTCAATAACCATGCTCCAAACTTCCAATGATACGTCGCTAAAATATATAAGACATTTTTTCATAAATGAGGAAGCAATCGGTGCGTAGAAATAAAATGTTATTGAACTATCAACATGTTAAATTTTTTTGTTCAAACCAGAGCTAGGAAAAACAATAAGCCTAAAGGGAAGCGTCTGTGGAAGCAAAGTCATTAAAAGTTTCGGCTGCAGGGCAGGTGTAGCCTAGATCTATATATAGCGGGGCTTTAAAACTTAAATCCAAGTTGGCTTACAACTTCAAAGTTTTTATTTCCAGCTTCCACGAAACAGAGTTTGTCAGGTCCGTCATTCAGTCAGTCATGATGGAAGGGCTTCCATAACGAGCGACCACCCCAACACACACAATAAAGAAGAGATCTGGTCTAAACCCAACCCCTACCCCGACCCTTCCCCCCCGCCCCTTAGTCTTACCCTATCCCCTACCCCTCTATATGTAAAGGTCGCTCGTTACGGCAGTCCTCCCGTCATGATACCAAACACATGACAATGACTTCATTGACAGTATACTTTACTAGAGATCTATAAATTTTTTAACTCTCATTTTCAGTAGAGATTGACAAGACTTTCTGAGTTAAAAATTTAAAGTAAAGTCTGCGTAATGTCTGATGGAAAATCGGTAAGATTGAACTTTGGTGGACCCAACACTGAGTGAAGCCGGAACTACTTTTGAGCCTTGCTGTGCAATATTCTGCTCTTATGTTATTGTTTAAGTGCATTTTTTAAAATTGTGTTTCCAGGGCCCACTGTTGCTATGTCTAGACACATTAATACGGGAAGGACTTCTGTAACGGTTGAGCAACAACCCCATCAAACACAATAAAGAAGAGGCCTAACCCTAACCCTACCCCAAACCCTCAATTCTGCTCTGTCTCATAGTGGTCGCTCGTTACGGAAGTCCTCCCAATAACCAATACGTGATGTAAACACAGTGGGTCAACAATGACAAAGTTCAATCCAGACGGAAATATTCTTTTCAGACTTTTCCACATTCCAGAAACATTAAATTTTCCAGGAAGAATTTGGGCTCTTGATCCTGGATTCCGGATCTGTCTCTAGATCTAGTTCTAGGCTAGGAGGCCCTACTGTAAGCCTACTTGTCATGTCTAGAATCTTAAAAACAGGACTTGATGATCTCTATTGTAAGGCAAGAACACAAAACTAGAAATAGAGAAGAGAGACTTGATTCTCGATTTCTGATCGCCCTCCAAGCCATTCTCATAATTTCCATTACATAGTCGATTTTGTCGAATTTACTCTAACAGAGCCTCTGTCTCTGGATTTCCTTAGTTCTTGGACTCTTCTAAAAAAGGCCTTCCTTAGCCTTAGTTCTCTATTTCATCCCAAGTCCAAGTGCCTGGCCAGACTCTACTTTACACAAGAGTAAAAGTTCCTTTAAAATATGACAAACAATTAAGATATAGAATCTATATATATTAAAAAAGGGATGACGGGCTACTGAAGACAGGGGTAATCGCAACATCTCATATTTTAAAAAAAAATCTAAAACGGTTGATGATATCATTACAAGATCAAAAGAAAAAAACAATAAAAGAAGGAACTGAAAATAAAAAGGAAAGTGGCCGACAAGCAGCAAGCTTCACTTCAAAACAACAAAGAAAGTGATCGGTTTACAGCCTTGGTTTCTCTTGGGGCACAACGAATAGACTTTCACAGACAATTTCTTCGACTACTAAGCCAGTAATACTCACTCTTAGACTTGATAGATCAATGTCATCCAGACTGACGTTAACTGATGCGGTGGTCGCCATTTTTCAGGGGCTCAGCTCATTTGAATAGCGCTTCCGTGAAATGTACGATGTTTTTAATCCAAGAGAAAATGCACACAAAGCAACACTTAAATTAGAAAACTCACTATCCTAAATGACCTGATTTCAAATTTACAAAACTTCTCAAAACACTGGTCGGAAACTTTATCATAATCCAAGAAAAGCGACCCGATTTCGCTTTATTTACAAACTAAAGGCAGGGGTCTAGCAGAATGAACCTGCCATGAAAGGGATCGGCGCTTGGCATTGTGGGTCAAATTTAAAGGGGAAACCACTGCAATAATGCTTTGCTTCGTCTGTTTATATTCCAAAACTTATTCTCTCCCTTCTCCTAGCACTTGGCTGTTGTAACCTAAATTATGGTAACGATAATTCGGGCATTTTGGGTCCTTTTCAAAATTGAGTTATATCATATTTTTCGTTTTCTTCTCCAAGATCCACTGAATCTAGAAAATCCTAGCATGATAAGATAAAAAAATCATATTATGTTTCTTTGTTATTGTCTTTTGTTCTTAAAGATAAGCTAGATGTTTTCATGCCCCCTGGACACAATTTAGAGCATACCAGGAGGTGAGCTTCTACCAAGTTGTAAGGTCCTTGGCTTCTACCCAACCTGTCCGGGCAAACGTGGGCGAACCCTATCCATATGCCTGGGGTCATTTTGTACCCAAGAGGTTGTTTTCTGTGCCACCACTTTCCAAAGAGGAAATTTACTCCTTAATCCGATCCGTACGCTTTGCATAGTAGTCTGTCAAAATGATTTTTTTGAGAAATACTGAAAGTTTCAAAGAGATCTTCGCAATAGAAGTGTTCTCTAAAATTGTCTCCTTTCACCTCCTTTCCTGCTCTCTAGCAATACTCTGCACGTCTGCTTTCGTCTCTACTTTTTTACCCCACCCCCTCACCTTCTTTGCTCCCTCCTCTGGGCTCCTGACTCTTTCTGCATCCTTTCTACTGCTACTGGCTCCTTCTTATTGCTTTCTTTCAGCTATACCTCTGATCTTCTGGTTGGAAAGATCTACACCTAGCCTTCTTGGACAAGGACAAAAAATCTCGGAGCTCCATTGTGGAAGTTGCGCACGTTAAAGATGGATAAGAGTAGGCGTCGGCTGCCACCCAGGTAAAATTCAAAATTTCCAATGTTTAATGTGTCTCGCGCGCTCACATGACCTTATGTAGATCTAGATCTAGTTTCGAGCGCTGTAAAACACTTGCCAAATTTTTTTAAGTAAAATTTTTTTAAATTATTGGAACGAAATGAAGACGGAAAAAAGGTTGTTTGCGTTCCTGTCTGCAGCGAGGCCTGGTTTCTTGTCCTTTATGTGTGCACCCATGGTGTGAACCAGCACAGAGAAGGTTTTATAGAGAGCAAGTAGTGGCGGCCATGACAGTGCAAAATCTAAGGTTCTATTATTTCAAGTCTGCGGATCCTCATTCGGGAAACCCCGGAGCTCCAACAAGGGAAGGTAAGAGATACGCGGTGCCCACAGAATTCTACACTCTATCTAGATCTAGATCCCATCCCATCATTAAAAAAACAACAAACCAACAATACAAATACAAAAACATAGTAACATTGCCCATCATGACATATTGTTGTCAATAAAAATGTACTAGACTATTTCACTACTTTTCCTCTTCGAAGAAAGTTTTAAAATACTGATGTTAGGTGTCTTCCTAGCCCTACCACTAGAATCTAGCATCAGCGTGCATAGCAACGCGAAGCCTCGCTGTGCGGCGCAGCCAAAGGTGCCCTCAACCGGCCGCCATGTTTTAGTTTCAATTCCTCACAGCGAATCAGCGATCGCAAAGAGGGAGTTCCGCTTCTATATATATATAAGTGTAGAATTCTGTGGCGGTGCCTACATTGTACTATACAAATGTGAAGGGACATAATCATTTAAATAATATTATTGCGGCAAAATCACTATTTAACTTTTTCTTCTATTTCAAATTGATCATTAGTCACATTTTCAACGTAGATCTAGTAAAATAATTAACAAGTGGAGAATTTCAGTTCATTTAGCTTAATTTTGTGAAGACAAGATTTTTAATATTGCTTGCATTAAAGGATATTAAGAATCTATTTAGTTTAAGTGTGTATAAATAACCGAAGAAGATATGTATTTCTTGTCGACGTCTCAGGTGTAGGAATAATCATTTTCTCTGGTAGGCGGATTGAATCCGCATAATCATTTTCTCTGGTAGGCGGATTGAATCCGCTGATTTGAGCATCAATAACAAGGGAATATCTTATCTGCGCGGACGTCCGGGAGAGAAAGCCGTGACGACACACTCGACTCGTAGACTGACGTAGAGAGAGACTGTAGTTATTTCACCACACAATGATTCATTATGTAGGCCTACCCTTAGGGTAAAAAATAATAATAATAACATAGAGAAAAGTCATATATTATATAGACCTACATGTACATGTATGTTAATTTCCCATTTCATGTGTCAACGCCATTCAGGAGTAAAATGGCACAATAGTTTGACACGAAATCGACGCTTTGCCTCGCTCACTTTTTTTCAGGGCGCAAACTGGCATTGTTGGCCCAGACCTACCTTATACATGTACAAGCTATATATGTTTTTTTTCAAAAGCTTTACAGATGCTATTAAAACTGTCTCACTTACCCCCCCCCCCCCCCCCGACCGGGGGCTGGTGCTACTGACTGAAGTGTCTTAATATTTAGGCCATTTGGACATTCCCAAAGGTTAGGGGGACATACTTGTTCTTATGCACAGTAGAATTGTAATTGTAAATGGGCAGATTCACCAATGTCATGTTCATAACTGTGCCTGACTCATAGATGGTGTACATCTATAGCCCGACTGAACTGCAACAGAGAACTGCTGCTTTTTCCTTCCTAATCCTTACAATCGTCATTTTTCCTCAACATGTACTTTTGTATGTTTGTCACACTCTTGTGACCCACTATTTCGGGGTGCCTTGATAGTCGGAGCAGACTTTGTGCTGTTGAAGCTAGAGAGGTGAGCAGAGTAAGCCTGATTCCGTGTAAGGACTTCTCTGTTGACATTCAGCACTTGACGTTTATATGACCATAAGCAGTTGCGAACGCCGTAAAACCTCTACCATAACAACAGTGTCACTTGACATCATTCTATACAATCTATCTGGCAAAGGTTGCCGCCATTAGATGTCTCCATTACTACATGTATAATATATAATATAACTATAACCTCCTTGTTCTTGCAAGACCTTACAAAAATAAGAGGACTTTCTTTCTCTCTCTCTCTCCGCGGCGCGCGCGACATGACAAGGAGAGGAGTAAAGATGGCCGCGATATGACGAGTAGTGATGGGCAGGTATCGATATCAGGTACTCGATACTTAGATACCTATAGGTATCGGTACCGATACCTGCTCTAAACATCGATACCTTTGTGTTATTTATCCCAGGGCTGCCAAAGCAGGTGACTTGGGCCTTGAGAATTTTTTGTTTATCAAAACTGATAAGTTTTCGTAGGGGGCAAGCGTTTTAAATTAATCTAGTGATTTTTTAACAAAAAGAGATAAATTTTTCATGAAATGTTCCAAGTGATTTTGCAAAATCCTCACTGACAACCCTGATTTATCCTCATTGGTTTTATTTAAAGTTGCTAAAAATCTGGTAAATTGAATTGCCTTTTTAGAACTCTTGTGTTTTTATTTTCCAATACTAACTTTTTCTGCAAAGTTGACTTTCCTCCCATACTTCATTTAATTTTTGTTTTTATTCTCATATTTGGGTATTTATTTCTCTCTTTCTCTCTCTTACAAATAATTTTTGTTTGAGTCTCAGCTCAATAGTCACAACTTATCTAGACACAATTACCTAAATACTTGGAAAAGTAGAGTTGTATTTTTGTCTTTAATTATTACCCCCCCCCCCCCCGGCGTATGTTACCAATAGCATTAGGTATCGAGGTATCGGTATCGATACCTTGAAAAAGTACTAGGTATCGACATCGATACCTAAATTGTGGTATCGGCCCATCACTAATGACGAGGAGAGGAGTAAAGATGGCCGCGACTGCGGTCTTTTCTCGACCGTCAACTTATATATCCCATTATTATTTTAGAACCTCCTTGTCCTTGAGGAAACCTCGGAGGTTTCGTGTAACGGATAAATCCAAATTTGGACAACTCTGAGGTGGACTTACCTGCCCCCGGGGGTTTATGCATTCGCGTAATTTGATCATTTTTTGCATAATTTCTGAATATTTTCCTTTATCATTCTTTGTTAATATTAACAGAATCGCATAATTTCACCTTTTTGGGCTCAGTTTGCATAATTTCAGATATTTTTGTGCACATAAAACAGCGGGGACAGACATCATGTACAAGATAGCAGGTGGATAGAATATACACATGTCCCTGTAGTGTGAGGGTTAGGCTCTTTGCTACAACAAACTAAAGATGTGAGTTCGGTTCCCCCATAGGGAAGGTGGGTGGTTGACGGGTGCTCTGCTCCTTCTTTCCTATCAAAGAGCTGTCGTCCTCATCTCTCCTTTTTTGTGTTTGTTACTCTTCTGCAACACCTCTAATCTTGGGCACTTCTATGACCTGAATGTGTAGCAAGTGCCGTAAAACTCTGACTAAATCTAAACCATAGGGAAGTTATTCTACAGAGAACTCCCATCTGTTTGCCGGGTTACTGGGTCTCTCTCTCAGCACAGACTGGCAGAGCAGACACAGCAGACCTAAAAATGATCTAATTTGTATCAATAGGGGCGTAAAACATTTACAATAAATTAAAAAAAACAAGGCAAAATATGGTGTGGTAAAAAATGTATTCTGGAATGCGACTGTAATAACATTTGTTTCACAAGAAGAAAGAGGTTATGATGAAGACCATGTTTTCTGAGGTCCCACCATGGCCCGGTGTTCACCGACTTTCATGCCATGCTGCCCCCCACCTGTCCCTACGTTCCCGGACCATTGTATCATCAATTCACAACAAAACATATTGCTTTCCCCCTTTCCCCACAGGCTAACATTATTTTTTCCACAGAAGATAGACAGTCATATATATATAAACATGAACCTAAAAAAAAAGGGAGCAAAAACTGCCTCTATAATGGCACCCTCTATTTGTCTGCTTGAATGAGAGATGGAAAGCAATTATTGAATTAACACGTTTTTAATTTTTAATTTTTTTTAGCTGTATCACTTCTCTGATAGGCAAGCAAACTAAAAAAAAAAAAAAAGGGGGGGGGGGGGGGGTGTGTGTGTGTGTGTGTGTGTGTTTAGGTTGTTTTCAAATTCTGCACTTCTCAACAGAAGACAAAACCAGTTACCAAATAGCTACACAGTGCCCCATTTCATTTCCTTATATAAGGATTATGAACATCTTAAAGACAAAAGTGTCTGAAAGAGTGAAAGCATCGGGTACAGGTAACTCATTGTCGTTCAATCAAGTGATGAGTGAAATTTCAGCTGATTTGACTTATGAAATTCTGAAACTGTCACTCAGGGTGTCCCTGAATCTACCAACTGATCGTAATTGTTTTCACTGTGAGTTGTAAGGGGTAGGGGAGGGATGCACTGAGGCGGATGATGGAAATAGGAATCACATTTTTTTACAAACGTCACAACTCATTATTTATCAAGTATAAAATTCAGAGTACAAAAGAGATATCATTTTTGGACCATCACTTTTTGAAGTGATATGTAATAACTAGGCTAAAATCACAACCGGTAAAACTTGAGGTCACAGGTCAACTCTAAGGAAAAGTGTATGAAAACAGCGTTGTTAACAGAAGTAGCAGTCTCATGGAATGACACAGTTCAGAAAACACAACTTACTGCTGGTATGAAGACAGCGCTATAAACAAGTTCAGAAAACACAACTTACTGCTGGTATGAAGACAGCGCTATAAACAAGTTCAGAAAACACAACTTACTGCTGGTATGAAGACAGCGCTATAAACAAGTTCAGAAAACACAACTTACTGCTGGTATGAAGACAGCGCTATAAACAGTAGTAGTAGCAGTCTCATGGAATGATGCAGTTCAGAAAACCTAACTTACTGCATGTATGAAGACATCGCTGAGAACTGTTTAAAACAGTAGCCGTCTGACAGAATGATACCGCTGAGAAAACAAACCTTACTGTATATATAGAGAGCTCTGTAAACAGTAGCTGTCTGACGGAATGAAACAGTCGAGGAAACAAGACCGACTGGTAACTGCTAGGAATGTTGCAACGTCTCACCCTTCATGAAATAACAACTAATATTGTCATTATGTATTATAAACAGATACTGTGACGTGGAATGTATATATACAAGTCAATGAGATCGATTCTATACAAATGGCAATGAAGAGATGAATGATGTAAGGCAATCTGAGAATAAATCTGTACGCATAGTGACGATATTTCTTGTCTAAACCTTGCATACAATCTGAACAATACAAGCAGATATGTGTGTATAGATAAGAACAGTCGCTTCAACAATTGCAAGGCACACAAACTTTGTATGTACACATCTATTCAGACACACACACACACAAAACAATTACATACTTACAACCCTATAAAATCAAACAACCACAAGAACTTTTCTGACCAAAAGATACTTTTGCACGTTCACAACTTGAACACGTCCTTTTTTCTTCTCCAACCATACACCAGGTCACCAACAATTCAGTACAAGAAACAGAAAATAGATAAGCTGAACAGTCTTCCTGGTTACAACTAATCACATGATTCAAAATGTCCAGCTCCACAAGCTGTATCCACTGGGGAAACATCCACCACTTTCATACATTCCCAAATAAACCCAACATTTTCAAGTAGAGCCTGCCACTAAATAGAATTTGTTAAAAATCTTCCCAAACCTCCAGCTCAACTTGTGTATCCACTGGGAAAATGTGCGTCCACATTCCAACATTCACAAACAACTCTGACATTCAAGTAGAGCCCGCCACTACACAGAACTAGTTCATCTTCCCAAACATCGAATTGCTCACTGTGGGGAAACACCCATCCACTTCTAACTAAATGTTCACAAATAAACCTGACATTAAACTCACAGAGCATAGGCCAGTAGGGAATAGTGGTGGTCGCTCCATACTGGCCATTTTCACATTTGTCTTCTTCTCTACAAATATTCCCAGGAAGGTAAATATTTAGCGACTGGCTTACTCTTTGGCTCGAAGAATGATGTATTATTTCTCCTCTTCATAGTGCAACAATTCTATAGCATTATTAGATCAAGATAATCTTAGTGGAAAAATGTGTGAAATCCCAATATTGATTCCACTCAGACTAACGGCTGGGCCAACATCTCGTGTAAGCTTGGGATCAGGAGTGCTGGGCCAACATCTCGTGTAAGCTTGGGATCAGGAGGGCTCAGAGAGGTAATGACGAGACTCACTACGCAAGGGAAAGCAGGTAACCCTGTATACGTAACGGTCCTCGCTCAAGAGCCTGGCACACAGAGGCCAAGAGAAAGTTTCTTCTCTTCCATTCTGTTAACCCCTTCCCTCCCCTGCACAACCCCCAACATATCTTACTGAACTTTGCACCATTATTGGTTTTCCCCCCCACTCTGGAACAGGGCCTCTTTCTTTCCCACCTATAGCCTGGCACCCATTCTGACCTGGGAGAAGTGACGGAAATTTGTGCTGTGTTTTTTCCCAAGAACACAACGTTAGGCCCACGACGAGATTCAAACTCACAACCTAATGGCAGAGAGCCTAAGAACAGAATCGCTAGTGGCAGGCATACCTCTACAACAACCTCCCCAACTACATATATACAATGACAGCAGGGGACAAAGGGGCCTGTGTCACACACTGCAGGTCACGTTCATTCAACACAACCATACAGGGAAACCATGGCACTACAGCAGCACAATTTTTCTTTTACGTGACTTCTGCCATTATATCCCTTTCATCTTCATATCTTAAAAAAAAACCCAAACAACCAACCCCCCCCCCCACTAACTGTCAGGCCAGATTAATCCACCATGACTTCAAAGCTGACTTGTCCGACTCTGTCCACCCTGTCGTGGATGATGTTTCGGGCATAGGCCTTGCACGTAATCATGAGCAATATGCCGGGGTGCGGGTTCTCAAATCGCAGGAACACCAGCGGGGACCGGTAGCCTTGCTGGTTCCTGAAGGGGAAATACTTGAAGGGGAAGCCTTGCTCCGGGAAGTAGAACAGCTGGCCCATGTTCTCTCGGGTCGCTGGGTCCTGGAACCACAGAAAATACAGCTTGTTGGATTTTTGGTTTGAGCAAAGTAGAGAAACGAGAAACTTGTTTATTAAGTACTGAGAAAAAAATAAGAGAAATGGATGGAAACATCAGAGAAGGAGGAAACAAGGGACAAACAAATAAAAAAACCCCAGAGGAGATGGAGAGAGACACACACACGCCCACACAGATGGACAGACCTACACATGCACAAAAACACACACAGACACATACGCAGACAAAAAAGATATACAGATACACACACGGACACACATACACAGAATCAGAGACACACATAGACACACTCACACAGACAAACTTGCAAACACAGGCTCATACACATACAGATGGACAGACACACTCGTGCGCATACACACACACTCACTCTCTCTCACAAAAACACACTCACACACACAAACACACCGACTCACACAAACAGAGCCCCCTACATTTTCACTTCTTCAACCCACACCAAAATGGCAAATTGGAGCCATGGCTATGAAGTCGTGCATATCTATTGTGTTCAACAGAAATTCACAACAATATTTACAAATTTAATAAACAAGTCTGATAAGAAAATCAAGGTCTTAAGAGTTTTCCTTTCTTGGCAAGCCCAAGATCTATTGAACCACAATTCTTCCTCTTGTTAACAGTGCTAGTGCTCTGCTTGTGCTTTAGAAGTGAAAGTAAAAGACACTGTCTACACTTTCATATAAAAGAGCACTTCCAGTATGGGTTGGCTAGGCCATTGTGACTATTAGTAATTGCGTAAAATTTTGATTTCGCATTAAACATTTTTTTTTTTAAAGCACGAATTCTCACATTTGCGGAAAACTGGAAGTCCTGGTATATATGTGTGTGTGCATATGTGCATGTGTATCTGTGTGTGTTTATATGCAAGCGTCCACCAACGGAAAACTGACACGTACTGTAATTGCGGAAAACTACACAGGACTCTTGACTTTAGAAAGTGAACATTACAGCCAAAAGTAAACTGAGGATTGTCAATTCAAACGCGAAGTCAGTCCTGTTGTATGGATGTGAGACAGGGAACACATCACAGACATGCATAAAGAGGATCCAGGTTTTTCTTGAACAAGTGTCTAAGAAAGTTACTGAGGATCAGATCGACAGACAGGTTCACCAACGAGGAAGTGTTAAGGAAAACAAGACAGATCCCAGTCAGAGATGGGGTAAGAAAAAAGTGGGGGCTATAGATATATACTCCCAGGAAGAAGGGCAGCTGCATAACAAAGAAAGTGTTGCATTGGAATACACAGGGTAAAAGATCAAGGGGAAGGCCGTGTGGAACCTGGAGACGAATCACAGAAATTGATGCACAGAAAAGTGGGAAGACATGGAATAACATCGTGAGGCTAGCCCAGGATAGAGAGAGGTGGAAAGTGTTTGTCCGTGGCCTACACCCTGGTGCAAGCAAGGTGAGAAAGGCAATGATGAGACAGCCAATAGTAAATTTGACGCTGAGCACACTAAGCCGAGGTTTTCCTGTTCCTCAGCATCAAGCTACTTACGTCGCCGTCACATTTGACGTAAATAAACCAGGGGTCTCCCCATTGGTCCAAGATGTCTTTGTGCACGGTGTCACCGGTGTATTCTTCCGGGACCCAGTTGAAAACCTGGAACAAACAGAGAAAAATATTTCAAAATTCAAACAAACAAAACAACCCCCCCCCCCCCAACCAAAAAAACAACCCCTAAACAAAACAAAAAACACAAAGGAAAAGAAAAGGAGTGCCCGATCAGATAGCCTGAAATTCGTATGTAGCAAATTAACATTTGTACTTAATGATAAGATTTCCACGTCCCGCTGACTTCACAATGTGCATGCAACACTCCCAATTGTTCGCCCCAATCACCCCGAGAAGGAGACATTTGATAAACCAGTCCTCCTACCAAGAATTCAACTGGTGTCTTCTCCGTACAAGGGTGAAGAGCCCAACCACTCCACTACAGACACACGGACGCCCCCAGACGGTGTGGAGCTACCCACCTTATTCAGCTTGAGCAGCACACAAGGCTGGCCGTCGTCAAAGCCGTAATTCTGCTGCTTCACACAGCTGTCGCCCAGCACGTTCAGGTCAAACACGCACACCTGGTCCAGTTGCTTTGTCCGTCGCTCTCCGATTGTTCTGCAGTCCATGAAGTTCTCTCCCTGCTGCAGCTCATTCTCGTAGTCTAAGGGGAAAAAATTATTTTTAAAAAAATTTTTTAAATAGAGAGAAATAATAATTCCCCCAGTTGTCCAAATGCCAGGCCTCCTCTTATACTTAGACCTGAATGTGAGCCTCAACCAGATTGTCCGAAAATTTTGCGCACCCCCCCATATAAGAGCTTTTGTGGGTGTCATAAAAGGAAGGACTTCCAATTAACGAACGACCACCGAAACAAACACACAATAAAGAAGAGACTTAACCCTAATCCAAACCTACCCCCAAAAAAGAATCTGCAACGGCCCTCGAGTAAAAAGGCCAGCACAAGTTAAAAAAACCAAAAACAAAATAGAACACACTCAGTCGAGTCTAGATTCTAAATAAATAGCCTAATTCACGCACCTGATGAAATGCTTTTTATCACCATAATTAATATATTACAGCACAGCCTATAACAGTGTTTGACACAATAGAATTGGAATATGAATCCTCCATTTGAGGTCTATAATGATCTATAAATCTAAATCTAGTAAAGTAGAAAAAGTGAGTCGGACTTAATGAATCCACATGATCTGAACAATCAGTCAACAAACAAAATTCAAAATGGCCGCTCGAGCATGAGACAGGGTTGCCAGATGTCCAAATTTTAACTCTTTGGCCTTTTCAAACTGACAACCCTTAACTCAAAATGGTCAAAATCTGACTTGCCATTTGGTACCTTTCTTTAGGAACACACATATATTTATATATAAGGATGCAGGAAAAGGAAAGTTGTAATTTCATGAAAGTTGTACGACTTCTATACTCACATTGGATGTACGCCTCAATATGGTCCAGATAATGCACATATGTGGACCCATCTCCTTTCACGAAACGTATAAGAGTGGACGTAACATCGGGCTGTGGTCTAAAACCCATTCCTGGAGTCTAAATAAAAAGGAAACAAATGCTAACATTAGCTAATATACCTGCAATTGAAAAGAAAGGAAGCAAACATTGACAATATCTATAATTTTGTTAGTTGCCCTTTGTTTAAACGTATGCTTTACATCTATAACTAGGAGACAAATGGTCTGTTTTGAGTGTTTTTCAATTTCATTTGCTTGTCTAGTAATAGTCCTAAGAGGAATTAAATGCTCCCTTTTTCATGATGTTCTACCTCAGATTGCTTGCTCTTTTTTAAAAACCATCAATAAGTTTTCAGCGTGCCATGTCTATTTATGAAAACTGTGCTTGTATCACTTTGTTCTGGCAGTTGCCAGGAAAACATTTTTTGGTCTGATTTGGTTTGCATTACTTGTCCAGTAACGTTCCTAACATGGAACATGGCTTGTAAAACGCACATTTTCAAATCATACAACAAAAACTAAGAAGGGATTTTACAAAAAAACAGAATCCCATGAAACGTACGTAACATTTGTTTGTTAGTTTTAAAAAAGTTATTACCAAGTATTTTGGACTTGTAACACTCCTAACAATTTAGGGAAAGTTACTTATTTTACAAAGTATACAAAAAACAACAACAAAAGCTGGAGATCTGTACTTAGATATTATCAATGTATAATTGTGCTACCCAATCATCAAATCAACAGGAATATACAGACATCTTGAATTTTCATGTCTGATGTAACAAAAAGTGGCCCTTAATGGTGGACCAACCCTATAACAAAAAACCCCCACAACCCCACAATCAATATATCAACTCATGTACTGGGGTCATCTAAAATTATAGGTCTCACAATCAGTACCTTTCCCATCTTTGTCAAAATGGAATCCCTTTAAAACAAAGCAATTAGAAATATAACAAGAAACTAAGTCAGTCCAAAACACCTTTTCATTTTCAATATAATTATAATGAAGCAAAAAAATAATTGGCAGAAGATTATTAACATAATTCTTTTCACTTGGCTTTTGTTTTTACATTTAAAATAGAATTTCAGTCATCTCAAAAGCACAAAGGCCACCTTCAAAACCTGAGATGAAGAAAAAGAATTGACCATTACCTGTAACATGCTTGAAGCACCTTGCAAGGTCGGGTAATTCCAGTCAATGACCCAGTAAAAGAGAGCACAGAATACAGCAGACATTCCTACTAAGGCACAAAGCAACACGACGTACATAATGACAAGTAATCCTGGGGAAGAAAAAAAAAGAAAGAAAAATTAGTAAAGCCATTCTGTAGATGCCAAATATATATTTGCATTTACTAAATGTCTAACATGTCGCAGCTCCTAGCAAAGCCCAGGGGGCCAAAATTACGGACTAGGATTTGGCTTGGACATTCAAGACTTTTTTTGCCATCTCTTTTGCATCTCTGAGTCCCGTACTTACGCAGCCGAAGTCAGTACCGTAAGTGTGTTAGTCTGCTGTTTGTGAGGGTTAATCGCACTTCTTGAACTCCCCGCATTGGTTCAAACCGAGGCGTACATCTCATTGAAAACAAGTTGGTAGCTCTAGATGTTCGTCCAATGAAATCAGAACAAATCGACCCACTTCTGCAGGAGGAACTCGATAGGATAAACAGGAAACAAGGTGAGCACGAAATAAAAATAAAATAAAAATGAGCTCGGTTTAACATGAAATGATATTACCCAATAGAAATAATCCAATTTGATGGTTTTGAAAACCATTGCAAGAAAAACCGGGTAAAAATCCCACCCGCAGATGCCCTTAACTATACTATTTACATGAAGCTGCAGCGAGCACCTAGCACACCTCTGTGATTGGCCCAAATAAAGATGACGTATTTCCGCCATCTATTTTTGTCGACTTCCAGGGTTTCCCCCAGGACTCTTGGGTTTCCCTCTCCAGTAACTGTTGACTAGATCTCGCTGTGTTGGTTTTTTTTGTATTAAATTGTATAAACAAACAATCTTAGCAATTATCATTCCATAAATTTACCATCTCCACAAAGTTGTACACACACACAAGCCCAAGCAGTCGGCTATGAAACCTAGTGACGTAGCCCATTGTGCGCTAAGCGGGCCCGCCATGGTGAGATCTAGTTGACGAGGGAAACCCCGGAAGACGACAAAAATAGATGCCGGAAATATGTTATCTTTATTTGAGCTTGGGCTAATCAGAGGTGAGCTAGGTGCTCGCTGTAGACAGTGCAGTAGCTTCATGAGTACTATTCTATTAGTTACAATCTTATATACGAGCCATTGCCAAAACGTGGGGAAAAACACACACATCTCACATTAGTGTGCATAAAATGTGATGCATTAGTATTTATTCCTCCAAAACGTATACACATGTCAAATATATGATGTAGAACCTGCATTAGCAGTTTCAGACCCTATGTCAGCTTTATAATCTTGAGTTTGTAAATTTTGTGCCAAAAATGTTCGTTTTTTAGTGATTCCTGGAGTGTCATTTTGAGCACACCAATGCAAACTTCCAAGAATGTAAAAAATTTAGTATTTTTTGGTGTTTTTTTTTTAACCTGTGCTTTGATTCTATGCTATTTGTGATCGAGAAAGGTTCACTTGCTCAAGAAATCGGTTTATTTGTTTGCAAATAAACCAATAATTCGGATCACTTGTGCGTCAGGGGTGTCGTCACAGACTAGGTGTTTCAGAAAACACCATTATTTTTCAGTAGAATCACCACAGCTGGTTAAATCTTTTTGCCTATCGTCGTTTATTCAATAGTTCAAAAGCCGCAATGCGCGAAAGGAACATCGGGTTCCTAGATCTACGATTTCGGTCGGCTGTTTAACATTCGCCGTTAATGGCGTCACTTTGCGACGTGCCGGAAGTCCGAATTTTAGCCTACTTTTGTTTTGAACGGGTCATCAACAGTGCCCGGATATAATTGTTTTCTTGAGTGACTTCCCCTTACCCGCTTCCCCATAACAGCGGGAGCAACGGGGTAAAGAGAAAAACGAAAGTAGTCATTGCCGTCACCCTCCGGTTACGCACAAGAATCTTGCGTTGAATGTGACGTACGGGGCTGTTTTGCGTGTTTTTAGGCTACCCTATTGAATATTTTAGTGAAATTGTGGTGTTTACATTGGATTCCTGGAACAAGAGTGTGATGTGTGAACAAACTTCGAGAGATGGATCATTTCTGTGGTTATAGATTTAGCTTTTGTTCTTAGTGATGACATTTGGGGTGTCGTCATGCAGCCGTACAAGACTGACCGACGTACTAGAAATTACATTGTCCTAAGAGCAAACATTATTTGAGTCATGTGTGCTCTTTTTACTCAAACAAATAGACAAACATGTCCTTGTTTATCTGTCTAACTCAAAAGTACACATTTGTTCTTTGTTGGCATGATATGCCTTTTTCCAATACATTGTGTCATCATTGTTATGTACAAGTAATATTTTTCATAATTGCTAATATCAATAAGTTTTCAACATATATTTCATACATGCCAGATTCATTTAGAAACAAAATACGCCTTTATTGATCTGTGTATCTCATAGTGCAAATTTGTTCTTTGTAGGCATGATTTTACCTTTTCCCAGTATGTTTTGTCATCACTGTTATGTACGAGTACTCTTTGTCATAATTAGCAACGTAATTGTGATTGTCTACTGTCTTTGATATGACCTGGTATCTGTTTCAAAGCAAAAGAAACCTCTCCTGAGGTTTTTTTATTCTTAAAGTGCGCTTTTCTCTCTGGAGACAAGACTTTTGTCTTTTCCTGTACATTGTGTCATCATTGTTATGTACAAGTCATGTTTGTCATCACTGTTATGTACAGGTCAGCTCAATTGATTTAGTACTTTTGCCTCATATTAGTTTAAAAATTGTTTTACACATGGTGTTTTTCTGGTACTGAGGCTTTGATAACTGTATTTGTACAGCCTTTCACTATTGTGATGTGTTGTTAATGATAATGTCCAATGTGTATCCTTTCTTGTACATTGATGACATGTTCTGTGCACTGCGTCATTGTTACAAAGCTTGTCATTCATATTACCATTATGAATGGAGTTCATAGTGTACGAAGTCTTTGTTTACTAAACAAATGGAATTTAAAGTCCATAATTTGCCTTGCTGCTTATCTGTTTTTGTCATCACTGTTACATACAAGAAATACAGTAGTTGCCAAACCAATAGACCCATATCTCCAAAACCGTACGTCTCCTTGCTCTGATACTCTAGGAATATGAGCACTAAATGTCAATCTGTGACTGACAGAAAAGAGAGTCAAATTGGTAAGAAAATTTTTTTTGCACCACTGAGTCTCAAGAGAGTCTCACGTTTTGGCAATTGCTCATACGGGGTGCCCAGTACGGCTGGAAAAGGCAGACCGCCCGACTCGGTCGCCACCCCCCCCCCCCCCCCGACTCGGTCGCCTGAAACTGAAAACAAACACTTTTGTTTTTGAGATCATGAAGCTGCAGCGAGCACCTAGCACATCCCTGTGATTGGCCCAAAAATATAGATCTATGACGTATTTCCGCCATCTATTTTTTGTTGCCTTCCGGGGTTTCCCCCAAGACGCCTGGGTATCCTTCACCAGTAACTTCACTGTTCACAAGATCTCACCGTGTTTGTTGGGGGTCGTATTTTTTGCATACTATACTATACAGAGGTGTGTGCTAGATCTAGGCTAGCCTAGTGCTCGAGCTTCAAGTGTTCTTGAGGTGACCGAGTCGGGCCATCGGCCCGATCCCATTCGTCATTCGTAGTGGGTACCCCGTATTGGTAATCTAGATCTAGACATGTAGTCTGTTGACAGTTGAATTGATGGGATCCCAATTCATTTTTTAGTCTTGAAGTTGAGAGTCCACAATAGAAGAGCTTTAGCCCAGGCCCACATTACAAATCTCAATCATTTCTAGAAATATAGATCTAGATTCTAGATCTAGATTCTAGTAGGACTTTAAACTTTAACAAAAAATTAACCGTCAATAGTACAGACAAACACTAGATCTAGTCATCTAATATAGATTCTAGAATCTAGACTAGATCTAGATCTAGATATATATAATATATATCTAGATCTAGATATCTAGCGCCCCAAATCAGTAGACTCGTAATCTATCAGTTGCTTACCCCAGTCCAGGGGATGTCTGCCCATGACAGTTCCTTCTTCCGGGTTGTAGAGCCAGTTCATCGTTTGTGTCATACGATCCCCGAAAGTTTCACGGTGAATACCTGAACCTTCTAGGGTGCTTTGATACATAGCCGAGCTTGTGGCCGAAAAGGCCGAGACGTGCGACATTCTAGACGTCATTGTGGTATCTTCATCTACCACCGCAAGTATGAAAGTTTGGGTTCAAGTCTGCAGTTTTGCTTTTGCCATCCGCGCTTCCGCATCCGAGTGAAGCGCCACCAAGCGGCCTTTTCACCACAGCTAAGTTCCATAACTTTCATTTCATTCGGCTACTTCCGGTTCTCGGATTCAATCAGGCTAAGCTAGTCAGTACCTCGTTCTGCAATTTCTTTAGATTAGCGATTAGCCTAAGAATTGGGTAAGAATTTTATGCCAAAATATTACGTCCTTTTAGGCTACCTTATGATAGCCACGATTGTTATTTCAGAAACATAGTTTTGGTAAGATTGGGAGGACCCGTAACGAGCGACCACTGCCACTATGAGACAGAGCAGAATTGAGTTGAGGGCTTGGGGTAGGGGTAGGGTTAGGGGTAGGGTTAGGTCTAGGCCTTTTCTTTAGGCACTATTTCTCCGAACGTTCGGGAAAATAAAGCTGGGCACTATTTCTCCGAACACTCTGAAATCACATCCTTTCTCGCAAATTTCGGATATTATATAGATCTAGATCTAGATCTAGATCTAGATCTAGATCTATAATTATATTATAAGCCTACCAAAGATTGTTCGTATACAATATGGTTCAAGCGGTCCAAAAAATGTCCGCAGTAAATATTTATATAAAGAAATGCTACAATTCCAAACAGTTTTTCGCTACAGATATGGCGTGTTGCCTATGAAGGGTGCTGCTCTTAAACGTAATGTGTTGTGTTCACTCGTGTGCTGTCTAGATCTAGATCTAGATCTACGGAGGGTTATTGATAACGACACATAGAACTGGCATCTGCGTTTGTCACTGCTGCGACCAATGTACTGACACTGGCAAAGCCCCTTAATGTGTGTGATTCCATAATTTACATGTAATATCCTGTCCTTTTTTTTTTTTTTATTACGCACATTTAGGGTTAAAACAGCCCATCTTCTTCGGACAGGTGGACACACGCCCTTATTTGTTAATGTTTGTTGTTGTTTATGGGCTGTTCTAATTTTGATTTCTTTCTGTTGTGAAACCTTTCTTTTTCACGTTTTTACACTCATCTAAAAATCTCTAGACTAGCTCTTGAAAATTGAAATAGATATAGACCCAAAAATTTGCTCCTGTGTGTGTGTGTGTGTGTGTGTGTGTGTGTGTGTGTGTATGTATGTGCGTGTGTGAGTGTGTCTGTGTGTGGTAGTAAGTGGAGAGTGAGGAGTGTGTGTGTGTGTGTGTGTGTGTGTGTGTGTGTGTGTGTGTGTGTGTGTTTTCGGGCTTTATTTCAGCCTGTATTCAGTAACAGTTCAAAGTATACAAAAATAGAAACACAGGATCCATTCACTCCGGGGCTCATGAGTCGTTCGTCTCTTTCAGTTTCCCTCATTCATTCAATTCCCGTGTTCTCTCCCGCGGCTCATCCCTGTCCGCATGACTTTCTTCATACCCCACCCCCTCCCTCCAGGCACACACAAAGAAAATATCATTCTTTCCTTTGCACCCTGCGAACCATGGACAATAATATAGGCAAAACACTGCCTGAGCTGCATTCCTTTCTTTCGTGAGCTGTGAACCAGGCCAGGGGGTCGGTGTCGTCGTCTTGTCTTGTAGTTGCTGTCGCCTGTGGATACACTCGCACATTCTTCCTTTCACCCGCTCTTTCACTCACACTGTCTCTCCGTCCACAGCTCAGCTCGTCATACGTTCAAAAGTTGCCCACTGGTCATGTTTAGTTAGTGTGTGTACATGTGCATGATGGTGGTGGGTGTGTGGTGGGTGTTACTGAAGGTTGTCTGTAGGCGGGCTTGCCATGCGGTGCTCCTTCCCAGACCAGAGGCCAGAGGCAGAATGAAAGTTGGCGCCGAACTCTCGCAATAAATAGACAAAAAATCACGAGACCGGAAGCCGGAAACCGTTCGGAGAAATAAAGATCGGCACTATTTCTCCGAACGTTCGGAGAAATAGTCACTTCGTTTTCTTTATTGTGTTTGCTGGGGTGGTCGCTCGTTACGGAAGTCCTTCCGTAAGATTTAACTTTGGTGGACCCAACACTGAATTAATTATTAAGCCGCAACTAGAATCTAGATTCTAGAATTCAGAGAGTCTAGATCTAGATCTAGATTCTAGATCTAGATCTACATCTAGATCTAGATCTAGATCTAAGTCTATATTTAGATCTCGATTCTAGATCTAGATCTAGTCTAGACTCTAGATTCGGCGCTTTTTCGGTAGCTCCCACCCCGCAATTTTATTCACGGGTTTGGGCCACAAGAGTAGGGGGGTTTCAGGGGGGCTTGCCCCCCTGACCTAACAAAAATAGGAAGGGGGGTTTCAGGGGGGCATGCATGCCCCCCTGAATTTTAAAATTTTTAATGTTTTGCAGTTGTTAGGTTTGATATCTTAGCTCACCGCGAATCAAACGTATAGATCTAGATCAAGATGTAGGTCAGGCTCAAATAAGGGGGGGTGGGAACTACCGAAAAAGCACCCTAGAATCTAGTGCACAGTAGAATTGTAAATGGGCTGATCCAACAATGTCATGCTCATTCATAAAATTTTATAACTGTGCCTGAACTACAACAGGTCAGGGAACTGCTGCTTTTTCTTTCCTAATCCTACTATCGTCATTTTCCTCTCTACTTCTTTTGTATGTTTGTCACACTCTTGTGATCTGCTATTTGATGCCTATGTGATGCCTTGATAGTCGAAGCAGACTTTGTGCTGCTGAAGTTAGGCTAGAGAGGTGAGCAGAGTAAGTCTGATTCCCTGTAAGGACTTTTCTTTTGACATCCACCCCTTGGCGCTCATATGACCTTTTATGCAGTTGTAAGTGCTGTAAAACCTTTACTAAAACAAAAATCTCTCTCTCCCTATCTCTTTCTCACTGCCCGCAAACAAAACTGCCTGATTTCTACTTCTACACAAGAGCGCTGGAACGTTTGTTTACACTGGTATCACGGTGAACGCACACCGGGTGAGAATTGCCAAAAGGCTTGCCCTCTCACCCAGAGTGATTGTCCTGAGCTAATGCACTAGGCCTAAGCGCTGAACGCTCAGCGGGTGAGAATAGCCAGAAAATTTACCCTCTCACCACGGGTAAGAGGCTTACAACTGTGCTATTCTCACCCCGGGTGAGAATAGAGGTGGCCAATACCTAACTTCCAGACACGTAAGACATTGAACATGATGATAGCCGTCAGTATTTCTGTTTCACTTTATCATACCCACAGTTGCCATGTCTTGTCTGGAACTCAAGGAGATTCCTTTACTAACAATAACAAAAGTTACTTTTAAAACTTTTGCCTTCACCTTTAATTAAAAAGTCTAAGTAGCTTATTAGTTATTTTTAAAAAATGATTTTTCTTTTGTTTGATCTCAAGTTTTGAAGTGGTGTCGTCATTGAAAGACAAAATGAACCCCGATGCGGATCATGGAGTTATGGGTGCACCGAAACTCAAACGAGAGCTCGATCGGCCTGGGAAGATCATGATTCTAGGCATTCCGAAAGATGAGGCTTACTCTGAAGCTGATCTTGAGAAAGAGTTTGCTCCCTTTGGAAGGATAACAGAAGGTTAGCTCTTTATTTTTGTTTAGATTATCTTTTAGTGGCAGGTATTTGATATGAACCTGTTTCTATACTCACACACTGTTGTGGCTTTTAAGTATATAAAATAAAAAGTTGGGGTTAGTGGAACTTCAGATAAAATGCGAAGGATACACATTGTTTTAAACTTTTTTTCTTCTATTCTTTGCCTCGTTGAAGCTAGCGGAGTCATTGATTGCCAAAATCAAATGGGACCTGGGTTGGTTTATATGCGATGGACACATGTCTGACAAATGAATCTATTCTGAAGCTTAAAAATTCTGAACAGAGTTGTTAGAGATTCTATTGTGTATGGATTTCTTAATTGATCAAAATTTTGTCAATGCTGTCAGCTGCAATGGCAATAGTTTACAAGTCAGGATAATGTTGTGCAGTTTTGTGAGTTTTGTTTTAGTTTTGCCTTTTGGGTCAATATCAGAAAGAGAGAGTTAAGTCTGCTTTCATCGACCTCCACAGTTACTGTTATACGAGACAGGAGGAAAGGAACTCCGAGAGGGTTCGCATTCATCACTTACGAAAATCCACGAGATTCACAAGATGCTATGAAAGCAATGGAGGGAAAGGTAAGGACTAACTTTTGGAGCAACGGCTGAGAAGAAATAGTTAATAATAGTTAATTAGCTACTTGTTCCTCTTCAAAATAAGATAAGACATATTTTTTGTCCAGATCTTGGCTCATTGGTTTGGTGTTTCACCACGCGCTCGCAGACCAGTGTGCACATATGGACGCGTACGTGCATGCACACATATGCACGCGCACACATACGCCCGCCCGCACACACACACATACATACATATGCACACACTAAATGCACACACACACGTTTATGCATGTGTGTGCTCATGCCCATACCCACGAATACTCTCTCGCACATCATCTCCTTCACACCTATTGGAAATCTGTAATCAAACATGATAATTGCAGTCACAAACTAACTCGGTCTCATTCATAGTATAAATGAACAATAATAGTTGAGAGTCGTCGTGTTAAGCTGCTAAACATTAACATTATTCTGTTTATAATCCAATGATAAACTGATACTGCATGCTTTAAAGGTCATAGGCATACTTATTTTACAAGATGATTAAGATGGTAGGTAGGAGTCTTGATAGTGAAATAACCACATGAGGTGGCCACTCAGTTGTACCCACTCTCTATAATATAACAGCAAAGGAAGGAGATGAAGTCCTGAATTTTGTTTGTTTTAGTAATTAGTGAGCCTTTGCCATAAGATGGGATACACGCAGGTGTGACAAATGAGGTCCAAAATCAACCTTATGTTGTAACTCTTTAGTCATCCAAGTTATCTTCTTGTGATTACTATTTCAGGCTCTATAAATAACTGTCATTGAGCATTGGCTGAAATTTAAGTGTGTTAATGAGACACAAGTTTTGTTGAGTGAGTACCTGTAATTTAGTATTAAATTAATGAATGTATACTCTTACAAAGTTATACACACGATGATATAGGTTGCAAACTTGATCTGCAGCACAGAAGTTCTAGGTTGAATTCTGAGTATAAAGTCCAAACATTTTTCTCCTCCTCCCTTTTTTCCCCTTAGTTAGAGAGCTGTCCTGGTACATGCTGGGAATTCTTAGAACAGAGGTAATAGTGATAGTCTCATTATTTATAAAGTGTGAAATGGTTAAATATTTCTCTTTTCCAGTTATAATGAGTCCTGATGTAGGATGTGGGAATCATTAAAGTGCTTATTGTTTTGTGCTTCAGTGACGTGTGCATTTTTTTTAAAGGGGGGGGGGGGATGTATAATTTTTTGGTAAGGAAATTCGGTTTGGCAATGTACTCGCATCTGCGTTTGTCGCGGCCTCGATTTTTGGCATTTTTTGGTCCGCGCACCGCGGCCGCGATTTTTGCATTTTTCAAACAAAAAAAAACTACTTCATAAAATATTAGAGTCTGAGATGTATAGAGTTATTTTTCATGCGAAGAATGTAAACACATTACATACTATATTTATATTGCTGTTTGTCTTTTATTTTTCCCTCTTTGTTGTGTTTTAATTTGTTGGTGTGTTAAATTTTTTTTCTATGATTTGTTCTGACATGTTTTTCTATTTTTTGTTTTTCTCTTCCAACTGTGCCCGTTATTTTGTCTCCCCAGGACCTGGGAGGGGAATGTCCACTTCACTGCGAGGACGCCGTCATTGGTTTACAGAAAAGTAAAAAGATGGCCGCCGAGGCCAGGGGTGGGATGAGGGGGAGGGGCAGAGGGATGGACAGAGGCAGGGGAGGGCCCATGATGAGGGGAGGGCCGCCGATGAGGGGAGGACCGCCAATGAGGGGGGGGCCGCCAATGAGGGGGATGGACAGAGGGAGGGGGATGGACAGAGGGAGGGGGATGAGAGGAGGAGGGAGAATGAGAGGTGGTCCCCCGATGGGCAGAGGGAGGGGTTTCGGAGGCGGGCCCCCACCCCCGAGGCAGGAGTTTTACGACGGGTTCGAGGATCCTTACTACGGTCAACACGAGCAGGGTTACGGTCCTGAGGGTGAGGAGTTCGGAGGTCAGGGGGAGGAGTTTGGCTATGACAGAGGTTATCCTGAGTACGGTGGGGGGTACCACCACGAGGAGTATGGCAGGGGGGGGAGAGGGTTTGGCCGTGGTGGGCCACCCAGGGGTCGTGGGGGAGATAGAGGCAGGGGCCACGGGGAGCGGGGATATGGTCGCGGAGGTGAAAGGGGATACGGACGGGGTGGAGAAAGGGGATATGGTAGAGGGGAGAGGGGCTACGGCCGAGGTAGGGGGAATCCCCCGGGTTTCGGTAGAGGGGAGCCGGACTACGAGAACGGTAACGGTGTTATGGGGTATGAGGGACCAGGCGGGGACATGGGGGGCTACCCGCGGGAGGAGCCCGGGTATGGCCGGGGAGGAGGGGGGCTGCGAGGGGCTCCCAGAGGGAGGGCTCCGCGGGGCTCGCATCGAGGGGGTCCTCCTCCTCCGGGACCTCAGGGAAGCCTGCCCCCTGGACGGAGAGCGCTGTTGCCCACACCGCCAGAAGGCGTACCCCCGGAGGAATTTTACGGGGAGGAAGTACCGCCTCAGTACGACCCCCAGTATCCAGACGCAGAACGCTTCCCCCACCCACACCCTGCTGAACGACCCCATGGGCGGCCCGCCCCCGAACATCGCCATGGCCCGCACGAACAAGGTGGGGGCGGGGATTATTACGCCAACCCCGAAGAGAGGATAGGGGAGGCTGGCAGGGGTCCCAGAAAACCTTACGGCCAGCCGGACACCTACGGCGCAGAGCAGTACGCAGAGGAAGAAGCGCAGGATGAGTACAGCAATCCTCCCGGCCAGTTCTACCCTCCTTCTCATCCTCCTCCACAAGAGAGAGGCGCTCGGGCGAGGGGGAGGCCGGGGGGAGGAAGAGGAGGTCCAGGCAGGGGCGGGCGGGGGAGAGGGGGTATGGCGCCTCCTCCCCCTCGCGGTCGACAGGAAGCGGAAGCAGCCTCGGGGCAGCAAGCTCTTCCTCCGTCGTCGAGACTTGAGGAGAGGTTTGAGGAGTACGACTACACGGGTGAAGGACGGGGAGCCAGGCACGGTTATAGACCGGAAGGTGAGTCATGTGGAGACAGTGGGGGAGTTCACGGGAAAAACGGGTAAAGTCGCAAACTGGAAATTGTGAGGGTGTCAATTTTGAAAAGCTTGTGGACTCATAACTTCCTATTTGTTTGATTGGTGGCTTATTGTTATGTTTGTTGAATGGGAAATCTTTATCTAACAACAGTAATCTACAGTTTAACAGAAATTTAGTTAAAAGTCAACAAGTGTTCGAAATTAATACCCTCATGATTTTCAGTTTCGTACTATTACCATTTTTCTCGTCAGTTGTAAACTTTAGCTTTTGAGTTTAGTTATACCCCATTTCTGTTATTCAGTTGTTCTTGCTCTAACTGCCACCTGTCCAAGACAATCACCAGAGCAAGCAACCACTTCCCACCTCACCCCGTGCATTTTTTCTATGTCATAATTACATTGCTGACGTAAGCTTACAAAATGCCGGCTTTTTATTATTTGGGAGCCAAATTTTTTTATTTGCTATATCGAAAGCCTGATCAGTTACCCAACTTTCTTATCGAATATCTATCATTCTTATCTCTTCTCTTTTTTTACTTTCTATGTTACTCTCTGGTAAAAGCTCTGATCTGGGCACTTATATGACCAGCCGAGAGAAGAGTCACAGAAATTGATGGACAGAAAAGTGGGAAAAATGTGGAATAGCAACGAGAGGCTAGCCCGGGATAGGGAAAGAGGGGAAGGTGGGAAGTGTTTGTTCGTGGCCTATATCCTGATCCAGGGTGAGAAAGGCAATGGTACCTGGATACATGGAGGCGTCATCTCTGACTCAGAGGTTGACTTATAATAACTCTCCATCTTTCACGGTCGCGAGCTGCTGTTGCGCATTCTGCCTTATCCTGGCCAGTCCATGTTCGTATGTTATTCTCTGCCTTCCTCTGGCTCTCCTGTCCCACATCTTTCCTTCAAGCTCCTCTTTCACAATGGTCTCGCTAAGTTTTAAGTGGCCATAGTGTTGCATTTTTCTACGTTTTATTTTGTTTAGCAGAGTTTGTCTTGTGTGTAGAATCTGACGTCATACCGCTTTATTGGTCTTTTTTTGTGGTCCAACTTATTCTGGCCAATCTACGGTAGCGCCACATCTCAAACAAATTTATTTTGTTTTCTTCTTTCCTTGTCAAAGTCCAGGAATGATGATGGTAACTTCTATGAGAGCTGTTTCATAACTCTCCATCTTTCACGGTCGCGAGCTGCTGTTGCGCATTCTGCCTTATCCTGGCCAGTCCATGTTCGTATGTTATTCTCTGCCTTCCTCTGGCTCTCCTGTCCCACATCTTTCCTTCAAGCTCCTCTTTCACAATGGTCTCGCTAAGTTTTAAGTGGCCATAGTGTTGCATTTTTCTACGTTTTATTTTGTTTAGCAGAGTTTGTCTTGTGTGTAGAATCTGACGTCATACCGCTTTATTGGTCTTTTTTTGTGGTCCAACTTATTCTGGCCAATCTACGGTAGCGCCACATCTCAAACAAATTTATTTTGTTTTCTTCTTTCCTTGTCAAAGTCCAGGAATGATGATGGTAACTTCTATGAGAGCTGTTTCATATTGTGTTGCAAATGCGCTAAAGTAAAACTCTTGTGTGTGTGTGTGCAGATTCGGGTCAACCTGTAGCCAGCAAGTACCCTGGTGACCCATATCAGGCTGAATGGACCAGAGACCCTCAAGCTGCCGACGCCTATGGAAGAGATGGAGGTCAAGGTCAGGGGATGTTTGTCATTATTTGGGGTTTTTTGTTCTTTCTTTTTTCTTTTTTTGTGTTGTGTTTTGTTTTTAGACCTGCATGTTTGCCGACAATCGTCTGAATTCCGACTATCGCGACCTGACCCGCGAACCGGCCGATGCTATGGCTAGCTCCGCCTGTATCAGTCAATGTGCCTTGTGCGAGGCCTGGCCGACTGCCAGCGACCCCTTTTTCTCCCGTCGGCTTCGTCGGCACTTTCGTTTTCGTGCCGACCTCCGACGTGCGCACCGCCGACTGCCGACGTCGGCGTTTCCGTCATAATTGTCGGAACCTAAGTAGAAATGCGAATACGAAAAAGGACGACAACCTAAATTATTTACTTTCAGTTTCGTGCTCGAGCAGCCATTTTGAATTTCGTTTGTTGACTAATTCAATTGTTCAGTTCGTATGGATTCATTCAAGTCTGACTCTCTTGTTCTAATAGAATCTAGATTTATATAGATCATTATAGACCTCAATGGAGGATTCATATTCCAATTCTATTGTGTCAAACCCTATCATAGGTTGTGCTGTAATATTAATATTGGTAAAAATAAAAGCATTTCATCAGGTGCATGAATTATTTATTTATCTAGAATCTAGACTCAACTGAGTCCCTTTGTTCGGAATCGAATGCGGATTTCTAGTTCAAGGCCTATTCCTATTCACTTGTTCTACAAGATCTAGATCTAGATTTATTTAGATTATAACTAGATCTAGATCTATATGGAGGATTCATATTTCAATTCTATTGAATTGTGTTATTGTATCAAACCCTATAGCAATGTAGATGTAAGCCATTATAGATCTAGAATCTAGATCTAGATCTATATGCTCCTTGTTTTTTTTGGAGTGGTTTTTTAATTTTAATTTTTTTTTTCATTTAGGACTTGTTTTGTCCTTTTTACATGAGTCCCGTTGCAGGTTCTTTTTGGGGGTGGGGTTAGGGTTAGGTCTCTTCTTTATTACAAGTGTTTGTTGGGGTGGTCGCTCGTTACTGGGATGTCCTTATGACACCCACAAAGGCTCTTTTTTTTTTAGGGGGGGTTGGGGGGGTTGCACAAAATTTTCAGACAATCTGGTTGAGGCTCACATGCAGGTCTATGTTTTGTTTTTGGAGTTACTTTTCGCAGTCCAAGGATGGAGATCAGATATCGGCCGAAAATTGACACTTGGCTCAGATTTGTAGAATTTTAATTGATGCCATTTTGTTCAAGTCTACCGTGTCTTTTTATTATTCCGTATTTACAAATTGTACAAACTCCACCTAAAATGTTGACATATCGATTTCCATAAGGCTGAAATTGGAGAAGTAACTCATTTTGTCAGCACACCTCACCTATGAATGCTGTTCATTATTTTGATAGTGGAAGATGGAGATTGAGCTGAGGCTTCTTTCTCTCTTTTCTTTTCGTTTATGAGAAACTAGTTGTTGTGTTTCCCAATAAATGGCTGCCTAGCTGCAAGGGGTCGCTACATTGATATATTTTTGGGGGGGGGGGGGTTTGTGAGTAAGGAGAAGCATTTGAACGTGGCAATTGTTTGTTCTTTTTGCACTATTAGACATATGGCTTCCTTATCTCTCCTCCGTCTTCTTGTACGTTATCATCTGAGATCTAGCAACACCTACATTCTTCGGCACTTGTATAACTTTATTGCCTTGCAAATGCTGTAAAACTCTTAAACATGGGTGGTTGGCAGGTGCTCTGGTGTGGTTTGCTTCTTCTTTCCTATCAACATCTTTCATCCTTATCTCCCTTCCTACCCCCCGGGCGGTGCTACTGACTGAAGTGTCTTTAGGCCATTCCCAAAGGGGGCACATTAACCTGTTCTTATGCACAGTAGAGTTGTAAATGGGCTGATTCATGGATGTCATGTTCATAACTGTACCTGAACTGCAACAGGGAACTGCAGCTTTTTCTTTCCTAGTCCTTACTATCGTCATTTTTCCTGTACTTCTTTTGTATGTTTCCGGGGTGCCTTGATAGTCGAAGCAGACTTTGTGCTGTTGAGGCTAGAGAGGTGAGCAGAATAAGTCTGATTCCCTGTAAGGACTTCTCTGTTGACATCCACCCCTTGGCGCTCATATGACCTGTATGCAGTTGCGAGCGCCGTAAAACCTCTACTAAAACTAAACTAAAAACTATAGATTCCCCTCCTTCTTTTTTGTGTTTGTTACTTTCTGGTAACACTTCTAATCTTCGGCGCTTATATGACCTATTGTGTTGCAAGTGCTGTAAGACTCTTCCTAAAACTAAACTAAGCTCTTAAACGAAAACACAATTGTTGCGTGAATGTGCTTCTGTTCACTCTTAAAAAAACTCCCAACCCAAACAACAAACTGACTCATGTTCAGATCATTTACATAAATGTTTCTGTATAGTGGATTGGCGTTTTTTCTGGAACTTTCTAGGCCATCCGCCGACACGAGGAGGAGGCGGCGGTCGAGGTCGCGGTCGTGGGGAGAGAGGTCCTCCTCACATGACACCCGGGAGGTCAGGAGGGGCCTCGTACATGGAGGAGCCTGGCGTGTACGAACAGCCCGGCCAGCGGCAGGACGCGTACGGGAAACCTTCACAGAGGGATCTGTCGGGGTGAGTGGCTCACTCGTAC